ATACTTCCCTGTTTTTTGTTGGGTTTTTCTCTGCTTTCATCACATCAGATGTGAAGACAAACCACACAAATTTTCCAAAGCCTGCTGAGTGCCATTGAAAAAAAAAATCATGAACCATTTCACATCTCATTGGTTGTGAAAGTGTTCTCAGAGCAGATCTGTGATGGATTTCAGCAATTGATGGTCAAAGGTCCATTTTCCATTCTGCGTCCCTCCTTACCACCCCGGGTCTCTCACTGTGAGGCCACGCCGTCTCAGAGTGCACAGCAGATGGCCGATGGGATCTAGGTGGAATCTGAAGTTACCCCAAAACCTTGCGTGCATGGTTCAACATCAAACATATGCCATCTCATGCACTGCCACACCTTTACAGACATTAAACAGCCAAAACGATCAAACAGTTAACAAACGGACGCGTTTTTACGTTTTTTACAGAGCTGCCAAGCTTCTTCAGGAACAAGCTTGTAAAATGTTTCAGTACAAAAGTATGAGAAGGAAATGAGGTCAGTGTAATACCAAGTACATTTTCCTCCCAATTTTGTCTTACTTTTTTTTTGGAATGCTGGAGAACATTATTGCTTAAAAAGTGAAAAGACAGAGTAATTGGATTTTACTCGTAATAATAATGTCTAAATCTTTGCAAGATTAAGCATATCTGTCATTTTTACATTTGTTAACCAATATTTTTTGGGGGGAGAGCCTTTGTTAGAGCTGTATGTCCCCACTGTAGAAAATAGCTAAATTGCCCTCAAGACTGAGTCAGAAATGACTGTTGACCCAGACAGCAAGAGGACCTGAGAACTGGGGGGGAAAACATCATGACTGCAAGCAGAGTAAAGCTGTTCACGAGTTAATGTGCAAACACCATCCATCCCTTTATTAGGCAACAAGAAGTCTGTTATAACATTTCGAGGAAGCTTCTTTTCATTGTTTACCAATAGTCATTTAAAATGTATTATCATCAGCCGACAAATGCAGCTATGAGAGGCTGGTTATTTCAGATTAAATTGGGCTGATGCATCAAAACAATCACTGATCATGTTCAACAAGGTTTTTATTTTTAATCTTCTTTATAGATTTTTTTTTTTTCTTTTTCTTTTTTTCCCCACTGGTAAGATTTAGCAGAAAGCACAATGAGGTCATATTAGAAGCAAACTAAAGTAAATTTAATGCAAGAAACTAAATATTAGAGTAAAATGAAGCGTCTGAAACTGCCCTGTAGAATCTGAGTGGACAGAGGTCTGAGCAGGCTTTACTTGAAAGAGGTGGCTTTACTTCCAAGCACACACACCCCCCCTGCTACTGTCTGTTAGTCCTCTCCTGACAAATAGTGACAGCCAATTAGACGTATTTGAACATGACTTCCAGAAGGCACTTCTGTCGGCTCCTCTCCTCAATGCTTCTCACATTAATGGACTGAAATGACACACTGGCAAATATGTTTCTGACAACATTGACACCTTGTGGTCATTTATCTCGAACATGACCCCAACAAATCTCATCAGCCACATATCGGGGCAAAAGGACTTGCTGTGAGGCACAAGGCAGAGCAAGCAAGAGGGCGACGTTCATTAGGACTCTCCCACTTAACTGAAAAATGACAGCACAGGTTGTCCTTTTAAGCCACAATTAAAGAACAACTTCAACTTCCTGAGAAGTCATAAACTCTGGCATCTAAAGAAAGTTAGAGGCGTCATCCAAAAAAGTCTCAACATTTCTATGCTAATTTGAATAAAAAAAAAAAAAACAGCAATCAAACGTTTTAAAGAGAGATCAGATTAATCTCACCTGTCTGATTTTGTTTTGCCTTTGATTGACACCCAAACTTTACAGATAAACCTTTTGTATCCTCAGCGGCCCTTTCAATGAAACATTTTAATAGATAAAGGAGTAAAGCCCCCACTTGTACCTAGTAGTAATAAACATTTAAATGGGCAGGATAAATTAATTAGAATTATTTGTCACGCACAAAAGTGTCCAGAACATGTCAGTAGTTGGTGTGATAAATGCGCCCTGCATGTAATTGAGAAGATAAAAGCTCTCAGTTCTATTTGACCACGTTCATGAATGCCGAGGAGCCACCCCCCCCAACACACACACACAAACCACCACCACCCACCCACCCACACACACACACAGCCTACCCCACTGCAAACAGCATTCTTATGATAATGGAATAATGCTGGTGCCTTAGCTAATTGTGTATGGCGATAGCGGTGGGCATCTTTTGTTGTGGACTCTCGTGAGTCTTAAGGAAAGAGCTGGAAGGGATTATCACCCGTATGGAACTTCTCAGATTCCACCCAACTCTTACTTTTTTCAGTACATTAAGGGTTTGTCGTGTTTGATTTGTGTAAGAAGTTGATGCATGTGTTCACAGATCTCCCTGTTATCTCCCTAAGATGTCAAACAAATGCTGCCTAAATAATATGTATAAATGGGAAGTTCAAGATGTTGCTACAATCATAGCAGGACCATATCCAACAATAAAAAGATTTATATTTTAACAATGTGTTCAGACTCTGATCCTACTCTGGCTAAATCAAAGCGTCTTGGCTCAGTAAGGAGACATTTGTCACCACATATGCTACATGGAGCTGTAAGCTTTGGCCCACACCAAGAATTGTGTTTTCTGTTAGCGTTTTCCATTTCAGCCTCATTTCATTGTAGTTTTCTCATAAGGAATCATTGGTGGGGCATAAATATTATTCATACTACTTTTGGATGACTAATAAGAAAATTACTTTAGATTTTTATCATCTATCAGAATGTAGGAAAATATAAAAACCACTGACGCTATAGAATTTGTATTCCTTCTGTTATGAATCATCTCATTTTTGTATTATTTTGAGTCTGTATATGACACTGTAAATAAACCGGCCAACTGAAAAAGTGCGCTCTCTTTAATACTAAAGCTACATTTTTCCACAGTAATTTATTCATTGTTTTATTAAATGGTGTAGGATTTCTACCTGCAGAAGTTACTACAATGGTAATTATACTGCTGTAAGGTATCAGAATACTTCTCCCTCCGCTGAATAGAGCCTAACCAAAAGCACCATTGGGGCTATACTTGAGTCAAACCTAAATCAATTAGCTGCACAAGACACTTTAATCTTCTTTCTCAATACCTGAATACTTCAACAAATAACAGTTAGATTTAGTTTAAAAAACTTTTAGAACAATTATCCACGTTAAACTGCTGTCCAGCGTTAACCTTTTTACGGCTGCATGGTTTGGCTATAGTTTACTCGTTGTAATTCCCTATTTTACTAATTCTGGTTAACCATATTTTGTTGGTGATTACTGAAGCATGCCTACATTCACTGTTTATTATATGTAATGTCTGAGCCAGCTGGTGCCAATTAGCTTAACTACCTCTTTCTCTCTCATGAACAGCTAGCTACCATTAGCCAACTAATCCAGGTAAGTATTTACTCAATTCAATTCAAATGATAATTAACATATGATTAATTTGTTTTTCCATTCTTTTTTGTGACAATATAAATGTTACTGTTTCTGAGTTCAGAAGAAGTTCTGAGGTAAACACACATTTTCTGTCAAACAATGAAGGTAAGAATATGTTATTTTGGAAAAGGTGGAATTGTGTTGAATTTTCTATGTTTTTGTTTGTCTGCAGTTGCTGTGACTTTAAATATATCCAAATAATAATGCTTAAAGTTAGAGCATATCTAAACTTTCCAACCACATCCAAAGACAAAAAGTTCAAGCTAGCCTCACCATGTATAGCAGTTAAGCTAACTAGCTTAACCAGGGACATACCACAGAAAGATAAATCTCAACAACAAAAAAAGATCCTAAAGCTGTAAAAACATTTAATTAGAATCGTAGAAAAACACTGGACATCTTCAGAATTAGCTATCAAAGAATAAAAAAAGCAATTTATCAAAGGTACGAGAAGTGGGGCTTAAAACTTACTATGGTTTTTGAAACTGATGCTTCTTTTGCTAATGTTAAACTGACTATGCTAATTTGTGGTTGTGCAAAGCCAACCCATGTTAAAACTTGCTTTCTGTTGCTATTTTTATGTGTGAACAGTAAGAAATGTTAAAATATATATTTGTGGAGGGAAATACACGATCGCTGTGAGACTCCTGTGAAGGCAGCGGGTCAGGGGGACTCAGGGGTCAGCGGCTGACCCAGATCCATGGCACGGAAGTCACTCACTCATCCATATTCTCTTATTTTATACAATTCATTTTACTGGGCTATAACCCTTTGTGTACACATCTGCTGTTCTCTGTTGTGTAGTGCTCATTTTTGTAGTTTTGATCTCTTGGATCCAGGTTCAAGAAGCAACTGTTTTGGTGACCAGTCGCTCCCTGTCCAGTCTTGATGGTTTGGATTAGTTACCTTTATTTCCCCAATGATTTATGTTTTTATAGTTGTCGTTGGATTAAATTAGTTTAGGGTTTATTTTCCTTCACTAAGGTAGCCGAGATAGATCAGGAGGTGGTGTCTTAGTTAAAACCACGAACCTCTCATGAAGGTTTAAACAGAGGTATTAAATATTAACATGTATGGCTGTAAAAAATCACTTGTATATAATCTGCTGAGGGATGCTGCTGTGATCCAAAACGTGTTCTAAAGTCATATTTCCCTGGCAAATGTCTAAATGGAGTTTTGGCCACATGTGTAAGCACAACCATTTGGTCTCTTAAATATTACTCTGCTGATCTGCTCGGTATTGAATTAAAGTGTGATGTAAAGAGTTTTTTTCAGTGTGGTCAACTTCTGTTAGGGTGTAACCTCCCCTGCTTTACTTTGCGTTTGCGTAGAGCACTCTAACGGTTGCGCGTTCTGGGCAATAAATCGGCCCCACAAACGTGGATGCAGCTGAACGCAGGGGGAAATATTGAACTTTTTCGAATTAGCATTGAAAAAAATCTTCATTTTTTTCCACAGGGTCGACCCAAACCACCCATATTTCCAGGTGAAAGCGGACGCACGGGGTGCACCTATGCGCAAAGCCTGGTTTAATGCTGAGTGGCTCCTCCGGGTGCACAAAGGCAGCGGCTCGCAGAGGAACTTGTTCAGAGCGAACCGGGGACGCTGGGAGGCGAAATAAACAATCTCCGGAGTCGAAGTATCACCGACCGCGCACTTCTAGCTGTCCAATTGCAATATTCCGCCACCCATTTCAGAAATATAAGGTAAGGACCTCTTTTAAAGCCGTTTCAGGGGGACTGGAGAGCCACGGAGCGGGTTAAACCTCCTTCGCTCTGGCTTTCCGAGCATGGTTGTTTTTGCAGAAAATGGCGTCATCGCCCTCTTGTTTCTGCCTGGCCGCGGCGGGGAGAGCGATACTTTCAGAGACTTGTATTAGCCTTTCCACGTAGCATGTACTTCCTCCGAGGTAAAAGTCGCCTACTGCGACGTCTTTCATTCAATCGCAAACTGTCAAAATGGGAGATAGTGGATGGTTTGGCTCGGTAGAAGGACGCGCAAAGATGGAAGGGTCACCGGTCCTGTGCGCCAAGCTGCTTCTTGGAAAAGGTGGCACGGAGCCGCAAAACGCAGCGGTCTACATTCTGAATTATGGCGTTTTCGCTGGCTAAAAGCAAACGTGGAAGAGCCGGGGTGGTCAGGTGCTGCTACTGTGGTGGTGATGGAGCTATTTGTGGCGGCGCTGTACCGTGTCTTTGTGTGTATTTTATTCGGGTTAGCTCGTTTTTACGCCGCACTCCCCGGCCATGCTGCAGCCGCTACGAGGGGCCTCTCTTCCAAGGCTTGAAAGGTACGTTTTGGACTTGGCTTTTCCACTGATCAAATAGAGCTGCCCCTTTGTTGCCGAAAATAGTGGCGTTTTTCAGCCTGACAATATAAGCGTGTATAAAGAGATTTTCGGGGGATAATGGGGGCGATGCAAATCGTGCCATGAGAGAGGCGACTGCCCTGCGCTCTTGTCCGCTGCTTCCCAGACGAGGACAGCCTGAATGAGATAAAAAATACAAAGTCCCCTGGACGAATCACTCAGTTTGCACAAAACTGAGGAAGTCCGGCGCTGCGCAACGATTGTGCTGCCGCTTTGCGCAGAGAACGCTGGCAGCTGCTGTAACCGCCGCCACCATTTCGCCGCGATCCGTTTTTGTGTGGCTGGCCAACCTTTTGTAAATAGTTGGGGACTCTTGGATAAAAGAGTACAATAGTATTCAGGCGGGCCCTTTATGGCCTGTGAATGTGGTCCCGAGTCCCACTCCGGCTGTCCTGTCTCTCCCCGTCAGCTACGTGCATGCGTCCTAGCTCTGGCCACCACACATCCACCATAGCGAGGCCACCGAGTTCCCCGTGTCTACGCTCGGCTTGGTTCCTCTTGTGGCCAAAAGTCGATGGCTGATCGTCCGCACAGTTTGACGGCGTAGGCCGTCACGATCAGATTGGAACAACCGCTAAACATCATCCACTGGGATTGCCCATCGCCCGCTCAGTGCACATTTTTATTAAGTTTCCCGAGTTATGCAACCGCATCCCCGTAGAGCGAACTGCTCGTCCGCCTCGTTTCACTCGTCACCCACCATCCGATGGGCATTTTTGCGTGAAATATCAGCTGAATCGGACCCGTCGCCGCGACCACGACTCTGTATTAAAAGATATGTAATTCGCAAAACACCCAGTGCCATTTGCGTCACAGCCCGCGGCCTCGCACGCCCATGGGGGGCGATGGAGTTGCAAATGGAGCCTGTGTGTGTGTGTGTGCGTGCTGACGCTGCCCCAGCCGAAAGGGAACCAATAGACAAGGACCCAGACAGAAACAATCGCCGTGCGCTTCCACTCCGAAGCAGTGCACCGACTTTGGATTCCGTATCAACGCGGAAGATCGCTCCGTTTTTTCGGCTTGGTTGGGTTTCCATCGCTCTGCCTGCGACGCGTAAGTGGATGCGTACACAGACGATTTAAGAACCTGCTTCAGGGCTCGGCAGGCCAGCCGGAGAGGAGTATATCCGCCGGGTGCTCCGCTCGTGGTGCTCGGTGCATGTGGCTGCCGAGGAGTCGCTCATCAGTGGATGAGTGTCTTTCCACGGGCTCAAAATCAGACGACCATAAAACGTTTATTACCCACGCAAAGGACTTAACTTGGATTACGATTCCGCCACTGGATATGAAGTGGAACGTTTATTTTTGTTGCACCCACGACGCGCCACGCGTTTCTGGTTTGGAGATGAACGGGGCTTTCTGCTCAGGAAGGGGTTTTGATGCCGCTGCGCTTTTGGGCACCGCGCGTGGCTTCATCCAGCAGAACTGTGTCAAGTCAGAACGACCTGAAACTCTCAGGCGCAGATTCCGACGGCACGGGGGGACGTCTGCTATGTGAGAAAGTGACTTTTTGTCATGACAAACTTTCGTGCTGAAGTCCTGAGGAGACGCAGTTTGGGATCGAGAGGCTGAAGCTCCGGGCTCTCATCACAAAGATGCAACAACAGCGTTTGGTTTCTGCAGTTTAGCGGGTCATACTTTATATCACCCTCGTTTTGCCCCACACATGTTAACGGTCCCTAAATCTTCAACATTTTACAACCTGATTTAACAAGGTAGTGTGTCAAAAAGTGAAGGGTGTGGTGAAATCCAAATAAAGGGATTACTCCCAGCACAGAGATTCAGCCCTGATTTTACCACAAGTCTGCCTTTGATTGTTTCAGATCCCTTGTGTAACTTTGATTGTGCGGCTGTTGTTTCTGTTTGGTGAACTGACTGAAGGCTTTGCGCTTCATGCAGGAAAGGGTGAGGTTCTGCTGCCTCCGTGCTTATAGATCATGTGTTCAGACCTTGTTCACTGGTCCAATTAGCCCCACTTACAGTTAACACAGCATATTAATGACTATGGACAGAAGAGGTGGCTAATTCAAGTCTCCTCAAGTAATTAGGACAAATGAAGGGCCAGAAGAACTACAATGGATTGGGGGGGACTTTATTTTCTTCTTTTTAATTACATGTTCAGAATCTTTTTGTTAAGAGTCTTTTTTTATCCTTGTGATAAATTTAAGACAACAGAATCTAAGGCAGCCCAACTCTCTTATAATATCACAGGTATCAACAGCTTTTGTCAGAACGGATGCTTATGACAGCAGTTCAGTGATGTCACAGTATGATTCAGTGGTTTGATGATATGTTGTAATGCTCAGTTACTGAGTCAGCTTGTCAAAGCAACGGGGAAGTTAAGCTGGTCAACAAACCTCTTAACCTGCCGGTCACACCAGCGGTCAGTAAGGCAAACAGAAGCACATGTGCTGAAAATCATGCCAGGCAACTGGAAAGTCAGCACCCCCCCCAATTAGCAAAGGTCAATTAGGTGTAGAGTAAGGATGTTATTCATCCTGAGAGCCCTCCACACCAGTCTAACCACAGCGGATATCTTGCTGTGTCAGCGGTGAAGGTGAGCAGCCTTTTCAGCACAGCTTGACCCGTCAACACAAACCTATTTTTCACAAAGACATAGAGTGGACACAGACTTCTTACAGACTTTGCTCATGTCTGCTGCCCTGCCGGCGATCCCTCAGTGAGGAAAAGTCTGGATCTAAGGAGATCTGTGTGTGTGTGTTTGGTGGGCCATAGGTCTTAATGTTTTTTAGCTTTGCTATTCAATGCTCACTATTACAGTAATGTTCGTTGTATTAAGTTGTACGTTTCTTTTTGATTTTAGAGACTTAATATCAAACTGCTTAAGCTGCACACCCAGCCTGGCCTGAAAATGCTATTATTCATATCCCATGGCTGTATTTATTTAAATGTTTGTCTGTGTTCTGTTTCAGCTCTGCCGTTGCTTCTCATACCACTAATGTGCTGTGTGCTTTGAGTCTGCACTGCACAGCAGGCTTTCTATTTCAACATTTTTTTTCAGATGCTTCAACACAGATTTTGTTTAATTCTCCTGTTTTGCGTAGTTGTCACTGCTCTATAACAAAGTTTGTTCTGGCTTGATTGAAAGATGACGGTTATCCCAGAAAAGTAAGCTTACCTGATGGCATGCCTTTATAGATCTGTCCGAGTCAGGCAGACCACATCTGGACAGAGACTGAAGTGTAACGGACAGGAGATCTTGACCTGCTTTGTGAAATTTTTAAGTTTTAAATTGCAAGCTCTTAACATCAACTTATTATGCTCTTTTTTCTGGACAGAGATGAAACTGTGTCATTTTATTGAAGGCACTTTTTAAGTGCCTTTACTTTGAAATATTTTTAAAATTACATCTCATATTCACACTGATCAGCCATAACAAAATGACCACCCACCCAACACTGGACTGGTTCTCCTCATCCCATCAAAAGCGGCCTAGCCAGTCAACAAGAAGTGATGGTACTGGGATGTTAGCCCTGTGGACCTTTAGAGTTCCCGTTAGATTAGAGGCTGACTGATCACCTGGGACTTTCTGAGCTGCCTGCTGTCCCGATGGGGAAGGCTGCTGTTGTCCACATGTGATGTGTCTTTGAGGTGCCAGCCTCAAAGACACATCCATCTGTCAGGGAGCAGGGTTTCTAGCAGACCAGTGCTCTCTAGGAGGATAGGCAGTGTTCCTTATTCCAATTCTTGTTCTCCTAATACCAGGATGCCTAAAGTGTAAAGATAGAGGTGCATTGATATTTTTAACAGATGCGACAGATTTTACTTTAATATACTACCCACATTAGACAAAGTAAAGAGGGGATGATGTGAGGACAAAGGCACCTGAGCTGCACCGGTTAGTGTCTGTGGGCAGGAAGTGTTTTTCTTCCAACCCTGAGGATCTCTGTCAGTTGGCCACATCATTGTTCAGACCGTCCTGCAGCCAGGTGGTGTCAGTGGTGTGTCTGCCTGCATCGTGTCAGTGATTCTTACCGTCACACTGGCTGTGCTCCATCATAGGAAACGGGAATCAGAGGGAGTGACTCTCCCACGCGTGCGTTGGCTCAATAGCAGTGTGCCCCACTCAGCCGTCAGCCATACAGGATGCACTGCTTACTTAGTTTTAAAATAACCTTTTAAGTTGGCTTAAAAACAGGTGTATTTTTATATTGAGCAGTGGGCATCAGGTAGCTTGTTTAGAATAAAACTGTTTTGTTGACAGAAGTATGGGAATTTCAGAGCTACAACCTGTAGATCCTGTAAAATGGCTATAGATAGTGAGTTTTGAACTTTAGTTGTCAGTTACTGAGATGTGATGAGTTTTTATTAGGATTTAAGCAGAAGACAGACTTAATCTCAGAAAATTAGCTACAGGTGACAGGTTGTTTCGCTGTCAGTCTAAAGATTTTCTTTACAAGTCCCTGAGGCATTCCATTCACATCTCACCTTTTCATTATAGTGAGTCGTCCTCTCCAGCGAGGGAAATCAGTGTTCCAGTGTTGCTCTGATCACCAGCAGTTGTTTATCAAGCACACGTCTGAGGAGGAAGGAAGGAAATGACACTTTTTTCCGTTGTCTTTTGAGACATGTTTTCGGGGGTTATGTGTGCACATGTATCTCAAAGTTAGGGTCAGCAGATCAAGTTGGTGTTGAACACTCGGTACTTATTCCCTCCATCCAGTGAGTGACTCCATGTGCCATGTTTCCCTAAGACATAGTTTTGTTTTGGCCTCTGAAGAGAGCAGCTTCAGTAAAAAGTTGTGAGTGGAGTAGAGTTTTGGAGGTTGCGGCTCATCCTCCAGTCCTCAGTTGGAGCGCAGGACACCTTCACTCATCACCTGTGTCCTAACAGGACCCAATCCTTTATGACCATCTCTGTCTGTTTCCATGGGAACGGGAGGGTCCCTTGTGTTATATGTGCACATTTAGCGTTGGTGTGTGCATACGGCTAAATGTGTTTGTTCTGAAGCTTTGCAGCATATCTCACACCCCGAAAAACACCAGAGGAAACCTGCTCAGCTGACTTGGAATTGTTTTTTAAAGTACGGTGTGGTTCCAGCAGACCGCCACATGCCTGGCCTTTATGACTTATCCATCAGCCACATAACCCAGTCCTGCTGGTCTTGGATTGGGATTTGCAACCTTGTGGAAATCACTGCACATTTTAAAGGAGTGTTGAGATGTTGATGTAGATTGACGACTAAATTAAAAAAGTTCCTGATCCTTTTTAAAAGCTCGGCTTTCATTTGAGCACTTGGATGAAAGCACTGATCCACATGCATTTTCTAGAAGAAATTAATCTAATGCTGGATGACGGGCGGCTTTTGCATCCCAGCATGCATCAGGTGAAACGCTGACAAACCCCTTCAACAGGTCGGCAGGGCTCGCAGAGCTCACATGTTCATGCATAATAGGGGTCCAATTTTCTTGAGTTTACACTTTCAACTAAGTCTGAT